AATCTAAATCTGGTTCTCGAATTGATGAAGGTTGGGATGCTCTCTTTCTAATTGAGGTGTTAGAGTCATCATTAGAATTTCTGTCATTTTTGTGCTATTATAATCATGAGTGTTTAGTGAGTATGCTTTTTGGACTAGTGTTTCGATCCTTGCTGCTAGTTGTTTGATCGTTTCATTCGGTAGTCTATAAATTTCATTGCATAAAACTCTTTGATATTTTTTGTTCCTTTCTGAATCAAACATTTTTGAAATTTCTTGTGTGAATTTTTTCCAATCAGATTTTGTTTCTATACGTCAACCTGAAAACCATTTTTGGGCTGCGCCATCAAGTGTGGTTTGTTTTAACGCTGTGCGTCTATGTATCCAATTTTGGTGAAGTGGTGTAATTATGGGTTCAAGTCATGTTCAAAAATAAAATTGATGTGACTGCATTTAAATAATCTTCTACAGGATATTCAGGATCTGTACCGGTGAATACCATCAATGGTTTGTTTGATTGTATTGATGATCCACCCATTAGGTATGGATTCATAGTCATTTGTATTGATTCTGCGGCATTTGGCATTTGTGAAAAATTTGTAAGTTGACTTTTTGTGATTTCGTGTTGTTGTAAAAATTAAGGTAGTGGGATTTCATTTTTCTTTTGTGTTGGTTGAAAATAATCTGTGTTAACTGGGTTTTGCATTTGTATTGGTTGATATGGTTGTGTATAGGTTGGGTTTTGCGTTTGCAATGCTTGGTGATTTTGTGTATTAGCTAGGTTTTGTGGGTAAAAATTTGTATTTTCGGATGATTGATTTCGTCGAGGTGGTTTTACACGGTATTCTTGTGTATATGGTTCAAAAAAATCTGGTTGGTAGTAATCATCATCATCTGATGATAAATAATAGATGTATAATAAGGTGTTTTGCGCTTACTTTGGTTTTGTTCATTGTTTTTACTCTGTTGAAAAAATGGATAATTTTCACTGTGGTCTTGTGCAATTCGTGGATAGTCATGAAAATTTACTGAAACTGTTGTTGGTTGTTGAAACTTTTGTTTTTGTGAAAATAAATGGTTTTGTGTATTTGGGCGAAAAAATTTAGATGTTTGTGGTCTGTTTACACAGTTATAATTGTGTTCTGCAAAGTTCTTTCTAGTGAATGTTCTCTGTTTTTGTATTGGTTTCGTCATTGGTTTAAATGGTTGATAGCTCACTTGTGGGTATCTGGGTGCAACGGTGGGTTTAACCGTAGATTATAATGTTACCTGTGGTAAGGTTGGGCTTTTTGGTCTTGGTGTTGTAAAATTTTGATGTATTGGTTAGATACTTTGTTGTGTTGTTGTTACTACTGTTTAACTACTTCTTCTTTTGCGAAGTGTGATGATGTTTGAATATCTTGTTGTGTGAGATTCCTAGTTCCATTTAGATTTTCTTGTTGTATGACAGTTGAGTTTAAACCATTATTTCCTGTTCTATCCGGTAGAAATGAGTTATAGTTTAAAGGTGTTGCATCAGTTCTGAGTGGATATATCTTAATATAACCTTTGTTTATGAAAATTGTGCCAATTGCTTGACTTCAAATATCTGTTGGTATGTTAGTGAATATTGGATGAGACCATTCAGGGTCCCAAACATAATCTGATTGTTCTGCTAATACCGTGTCATCTGTTGAATTTTGGAGTCTGAAATTTTTTCTTGCTTGTGAGATTAGATCAATATTGTGTGTGAAATAATCTATGATAAACCATGCCAAGATTTTTTGTAAAGGGTTTTTATTGTTTTGTGAAACGTCGTTACTAGTTAAATTTTCACGGATTGTATATAAATATTCAGAAAATATCGCAATTTCATGTATTATAGTTATATGTTTTGATGTTTGAATTGGTGAAGTTCCTTGGGATTCTGGTTTTTCTAATATAGATAGATAGCTATAAATTATTCGAAATTTTTCATTTTAAATATTGAGTTTGCTCGTTGCGAATTTTGGTGTTGTATATTTTTCATGTATTCTGTGAATACTTTTGAGAGTTCTATTTCTACGTCGTCTGTTTGAAGTAGATACCTACCATGAAATTTACTTGGGGTCTTTTTTTCTATGGTATAGATTCCGTACTGTTGTGTTAGGTTACATATTCCTTTGAGATTGTGGTTGACAATTTGTCTTTTGATTATTACTTCTGGAAATTCTGCTGTGCATGGAATAACTCCTCTTTCAAATACATTTGCTACTAAATTTAGACAATATTTTGTTTGTCCTCTGTCATCAGTGAGGGAAAAAATTATAAATGGAAGGATGGAGTTTTCATCTTCACTTTCTTGATTTTGACTCATTTTTGTGCTTTATTACTGTCAGTTTATAACTTTCAATATGTTTTATTGGTTGATTTTAAATTTATAGTCGTACTGGTTTGTTTTTGAATGTGTTTTTTATTCTGCGTTTTCCTTGTATTGATGAATGTGATGTGGTTTTTGAGTTAAAAAAATTAATGTATCTTTAACTTGGTAATTCTTATTTATGGAGTCTTTTATTCTCTAAAGTTCTTCTAAATGACTTGTTTCTGATTCGGAGAATGCGTTTCTTTGTTTTGAAACTTTTTTGTGTAATCTGTCTTTGTTTGCTTAAAGTTTTTTGTTGATTTTTTGTCGTTTTGTTGTAATATATCCTGCTGACTGTCTGTGTGGAGTGATTACGAGATCATATTTTTTGTTGTTTTTTTAACAGTTATGTAATATGATTGTTTGTTTATTTCCTAAATTGTCTAGTGACATAAGGTTTAGGATGACGGATGCAATATTTGGAAAAGTGATTTTTAATTCTTTAAACTGTTAGTTCTTACAATTTTTTCGGGTTAGCCGAACTTGCATTCAGGGTCTTGCATTCAGGGTTGGAGAGAAAAGCATATATCGATTCCGAACAATGATTGTTACTTTCTCGTGGCTAGTCTAAGTTAACTTGTTAATTTACTTAATCTTACTTAGGGATAGTGATTGTGTTCAAGGGTTGGAGAATAGTAATTCGATCCATAAGGTTCAGGTATAATTAGAACACAAGTATTTCGTTAGATACTATTTCAAACTTACGAAATATAAGTATTATCCTGGGTCAGGTAAGAGGGGAGATCAAGTGAAGGCTGAATAACCAAAGTTCTTCATTGTTTGTCCTAATTAGAATGGTAAGTGTGATTGAAACCTTTCTGTGAATCCTGGGTCTTGAGAAAGGGTTGGATAGTGAATCGACGTTTGAGGTCGTTAGACAATGTGCTAATTGTGTGGGGAGAACAAAATTGTTCTTCTTGATCCAAGGTTAAGCTTTGATGATCAGGCTATAATTTTAATGATATAAAATTTAATTAAGATAACAGTGAAATAGAGGTTCAAGGAAAACCCTGATGATCTCTTAAGTTTAAAAAAATTAGTTTAGGTAAAAGTAAAAATTAGAAGAGGCCTTTTTAAAATAATTTAAAGTTTAATTGATGGAAAAATTTAGTTTTTGATGATGTTAGTGGTTTTATGATTTGCTTGTTAAGTTTAGGTTATGAAGCTGAGATGAAGAAAGGATTTGTTTATTACTAACAATTTGCGTATTTAATAACTAATTTTTATTTTTTATTTCAAAAAACGTTTTTTGTAGATATCTTTTTCAAATTTACTGCAGGTTACAGGAAACGACTAGTGATGTTTTTATCAGTCGTTATTGTACAATAGTAATTATAGCGCCTGTAATTATTGATGGAGATTTTTCTTCAATGATAATGTGCCAGCAAATGAAAAACTAAATTCATTGCTAATAAAACTGTATATATAAAAGTTTGTGTTGGCTTTTGCCGTACGACCATGAAACTTATGGGTAAGTTCCGTTGTAGTCATATATCGTCTCATGTCCGAGGTTTAATTCCAATACCAGGTAGTTCTCGTATTGTTCGGAATAATGGCTCTGATCTGTTGTGTCGTAGAGACATTTGAATTAAATTATTATCATGTAACATTTTTGTGAATGTTTGTCTAAGTCTAATCTATTTTTGGTTATATCATGCAATTTTTTTTCCTTAACGTCTTATTCGAGACTTATGGTCGCACCGGATGAGTTGGGATTGATGTCTAACTCATAGAGTAATTTCAGATAAGGTACACCGTCTGCCCGTCACGCTATCTTATTTTCGGCCGGATAGATTCGTGCAACTTCTTAGTCTAATACTGATCTTAATCTTACTCTTAAATCTCTTAGCCTCAATAGATCTAGAGTATACTGGTTTGTTACGAGTCGGTCTATTGGAAAAAGAAACTAAGTTGTAAGTTAAATTCAGAATGCTCTGGTGGTGAAATTACAAGAAATTACAAGTAATTGCTGAAATTACAAGTAACTTAATTACAAAAAATTTAATGTTTTTTTTTCAAGTATTGCTGTTTTTTGAGCGTGGTGTAATAGTATGATCTGACGACAACCTAAAAATTAGGCATAATCGAGAATCACAATAATTTAGGCAAATCGGGCAACCATTTCGGGAGGGGGAGGGATTTGCGGACGCCCCCTCTCCCCTTCAGGGATTCGATCCCCTACCGACCCAAAGGGTCCCCCTTTGTATTACTTTGAAATATCCATATTTGGTGACGAACTCTATCAATTCTCTAAGAGCCAATATATACTAACTTTTTGGAAGGGGGTAGCACCAAAAAACGCGATTTTTTGGTCAAAATTTTCCAAAAGGAAAAAGAGCCGACAAACATATTTGGTCTTCACATCTATGCTTGCAAAACCCCTTACGTCAGAAAATTGATTCTTTTTGAGCCAAAATGTCAAAAATATGAATCTTTCTTAGCAGCAACTTTCCGTATGTACGATTGAGAAAGAAAGACTGATGCAACTTTTCGAGAGTGAATAGGATGTAGATTTTGAGAAGGATGCACTTTTAATGAATAGGAAACTTGAAAAGAGCCGATTATTGATACTCAAATGCAGCACCACATCCATTGTACTAAAATTGAGAGAATTTTTTAAAACATTTTAAGAGGTTCTCACGTTCAAAGCAATGAGCAGCTGAGAGAACCCAGTTGGTTGCAATGAGAGTCCCCCCACACATAGATGCACCCCATTGGAACACTGTTTCCACTTGCACGTAGAAAGGCCTGGAGGGCGAATTGTACCCGTTTGCTATAGCTCTTTTGTCATCTACTGATCTTGTTGCAGAGTAGCTTGAAGATAAAATTATTGCAGAAACAAACGTTAACGTCATCATTTTAATGTTTCTGTTTTTTGCTGTTTTTCTGGCACGCACAATTTACAGCAAAAAGTAGTATATTTATATAGTTTTTATATTTTTACCAGCAAATTTTCAATTGAGAAGTATTTAGTTTTTTGTTACACATTGCGTGCGTATTTTTTAAAAAGTGGAAAAATTTTGGATAAAAACACATGTGCGACTTTGTCTCAAGAGTCAAGAGATAATTTGACTGATAACTTCTTGAAACTCGATGGTCACTTGATCTCGATCGGCACATAGATTTTACCAAAGTACTTAAAAGCTGCTGGCTCTTTTTCCTTCCCCCCCCCCCCCCCCCACCTGCAAATTTTTACAAGTAAGTTTGTTGACCACATTGTCCGATTGTTTTGAAAATTGACATATAGACTGATTAGGCCATGGCAAACATATCTGGTCTTCATAATCAACCTCGTAAAACCACTCGTTACACTAAAAAATTGAAGCTCGTCTGAGGTGGGGGGGAAGGAAAAAGAGCCAAGCTGCTGAAGATATGATATCAGAAGGAGGGGTGTCTTTCCCATTATAGCCACTCCAGTAAATTATAGCCCTCTTTTTCCTTTTCTCCCCACCGGCAAATTTTTATAATTAAAATTACTGTTCAAATTGTCCGGGGGGGGGACCTATAGCCAGCCTGTAGCCCCTCCAGTAAATGACCCTCCAATACAAAATGAAACAAACTTGCACAACGAAAAATCATTTGCATCACCATTTATTTATGCATAATCAGTAACTTGACCCACCGCAAAGTTCAGTACTGACAAAAAAAAGCAATTTATTTTCTTTTCCTTAACCTCTTTTCTGGCTCTTTTCCACAACCCCTCTCCCACACTTCAAATTTCCAGTTTGGCTCTTCCCCCCCCCACCTGCAAATTTTTACATGTAAATTTGTTGACTACATTGTCCGATTGCTATGAAAATTTGGCTCTTTTTCCTTTTCCCCCCACCTGCAATTTTTTACATGAAAATTTGTTGACCACAATGTCCGATTGTAACGAACACTTACATACAGACTAATAAGGCCACGACAAACATTTTGGTCTTCATACTCAACCTCGTGAAACCACTCGTTACACTTATATATTGAAGGTCGTGTGAGGTGGGGGGGAGGAAAAAGAGCCTACAGTTTTTACGGTTAATACACGTATCACGTATTATTATGGCACGTGTATATGTGATAGTACCATGCAAAACTTGAAGAACAATAATGTACACCATGGTTTACTTAATCACTGTGCGAAGTTTCATTGCACAATTACAAGGTTGAAACAGTTTTTCAACATTGAAAGTCAATTGTGAGGGGAGTAAAAAAGAACAATGCACGTTTGTATGATTGCACTTACAAATTGAAGCACAACAATTGTTTTAATGTAAAAAAATACAATTGGAGGGGATATAATTTGTTGCTACTAAGCTGGGGCTATAATGTAAAAGACCTGATATCAGTTGTTCATCGTGTAAAAATGGTTAATTGCGTTAATTTGAGACTGAAGGTATTAAAAACAAATTTGCTCACAATGGTTTGTTTGTTCACCATGCCACGGCTCATTGCATTATGCCAGTGTTAAACTAATTTTGAGAAAATGAAAATGCAATCTAGATTTTCCGGTTCAAATGAGACGAGTCCGATTTTCACTCTAAAAAATTGGTCTGAATATTCCATCTCAAGGAAATAATTTCTCTCTTTCAGTGGAAGTCTGATTTGAAAATGTCTGTTTAAAACTTAAAATGTGTAAATTTTATTGCATTACTGCTATCAAATAAAATAAGTTTTTCAAAATGAAATTCAAATGAGGATAGACATGATCACAAAATGTAATGGTTAGGGCGAGTCAAACTGTTCAGCAAACATTGTTAATTACGCCTTTTTCAATTGTGCTCACTATTATAACTTTTCCATTATCTCAGAAAAAATCTGTACCATTTCGTTTCCCGTGTTTCAGAGAGGTATAAAACTTAAAAACTATTGTTTTTAGTCTTTTGCCTCTGTGAAATACGGGAAACCAAATGCTACATTTTTTTTCTGAGATAATGGAATAATTTTTTGAGGTGACCACAGCTGAAATTGGCATACTTGACAATGTTTGCTGATAAGATTGACTCCATTACATTTGGGGCTAATGTCCATACCCGTTTGAAATTCAATTTGAAAATTTTGATTTTATTTGATTGTAATCATGAAATGATATTTTGCACATTTTCAGTTTTAAATAAACATTTTAAATCAGACTTCTATAGGAAAAGAGAAATTAAATATTTAGTTTGTTTAGTTTGTTTCCATGTTATGTTAATGCTCTGTTACAGTTATTTAATCAAAATTCGTTGCTGTTATACCTTAGTCCCTCGTGTAAAACTTGAACGTCTGTTTTTCTATAATCAACTTCCCTTTTGTTTTGTTTGAACTGTTTTGTGACGTATTTGAATCACAAAAAGTGTATATTGCTATTAAGCCAGTTGCTAATTTTGTCAATTCGGGATAATTAACGCGCGATATATATATTGTGTCCTTATATCTCGTGTAAGCGGTGGATCGATGCATTCCAAATTGAATTAAGGCGAGTCATTTGTTCTAGTTATTAGAATATGAGATGCTAAATATATCCAGTTGTAGTTTATCTGGGAATACAAAGAACAAAAATCTGAATGATGAAAAAATAAATTTGTTTTCTTATTGTTCCGACTTTCGGTACGAAAGTAACGGAATATTTGTGCTCGGGGTGGGTTTTTTTTTTCTTCAGACAAATTTCGACTTTTTAACTAGCCATTTTTGACGGAATTTTTTTATATCATTCGAAAGGTATTGTTGTCCTGAGCTCAAATTTGATAAGATATTTCACCTGTGATCATTTTTCGTAAAGTTTTGGGGGTTTAAAGGTTGCCATTTTGGCCAATTTGGGACAATTAACGCGCGATATATTTTGCGCTTTTAACGCGTAAGCGGAGAGTTAATCCGTCTTAGAAATCGTTCCAAATTGGTTGAAAGAAGCCTATTTGTCATAATTGGTTTGCTACAAGGAGCGAATTAGATTCTTTGTACTGTATATGACGTGTGGGGGGATGGTTTTCATAAATAATTTTAGAAAAAAATTTTTTCATTTTTTTTAAATTTCATTAAATTTTTTAATTTTATTACTGCTCCATAAACCTTAAAAGGCAGTCGGAACATTCAGGGCTTCGCCCTGATACGAGCAGTCTTGTTTGGCATTTATGCGCGGTCAAATTTTTCAATGATCTGCGCTGATATACGAGCAGTCTTGTTGCTCCGACTTTCGTAACGAAAGTAACAGAATATTTGTGCTCGGGTTGGTTTTTTTACAAGCCATATTTGACGAAACTTTTTAATATCATTCGAAAGATACTGTTGTCCTGAACTTAAATTTGCAATTTATATCCTCAATTGTATTAGCATTGTTTCAATCTTTGACCGACAATGTCCTAATTACCATGACTAAATCTAATATAAGTATCAGCACGATCAGTCTCGAAATTGTTTTGCAACAACACTGGAAATAAACTTCAATCAATGAACTTTGTTTTTCGTTGGTCAATCGGGTCTAGCTAAAAATGATAGCTTATGTTTTAGGAAAGGTTATGCTATCACGGACTTCAATTTTAGTCAGAGGTATAATTCAGACCAGCAACCCTAGTGAGTAAACTGTTTAAATAACGTGATGGTGGCGTATCGTTACACGTTGTTACCCGTTCAGACAAGAAATGGTTACAATCGATTTTCTAAACTGTATAATTAACGTGATGATGGCGTATCGTTATTAATTAATACCCATTCTGAAAAGAAATGGCTCGCAATCAATTTTTCTAAAAATGAAGCGAAAACCTAAAAATAAATAACTTGAATCAAAGTAAAATCGATATAGTTTAAAACAAAAATATAGCTTATAATGCTGAATTTCAAGATTTTAGTAGCTCAAAATCAATTTAAATTTGTTTTTAACCATTTGTTTATGATTAAAGTTTATGCAACAAATATACTGATTATATCAGTTTTTTTAAACTTTTTTCAACTGTTCGGGTAGTTGTTTGGCCCGAAAGGAAAATGGTGATATATTACAATGCGTGGTAGCTTCAGTTCAATAGCTAGATCGCTTTTTGTTATACTTCGTACATTAATTATAATTTATTTCAAAAGCCATATTTTTCAGCAAAAAAGTGTAGATATCGAGTCTTAGAATAACAATTCATTTGGCAGAGTAATGTAATAACAAAAACTATCTAAATAGTAGAACAACTGATTAAAAATGAAATGAATATATTATGCATTATAGTTCTGAAATTTAAAACATGCACTATTCTCAAAATTACCACTTATTGTAAAATATCACCAGGAAAATATAGCTAAAATAAGAATTTTCGGCTTAACAAAATCAAAATTTTTGCAGCTTAAATTTTGATAATGATATTAGTTGTTCAAATAATTTCACGTAAATTCATTTTCACTGCTGCAAAAACCCCTAAACACGGAAAATTCAAAAGAGATTGTCTTAAACACAAAATTTCGCTTTAATAAAAATCTACACAAGTAAATCTAGCTTTTTGTAGCCCTCCTGGAGGCTTTCCTTACATACACAAGTTTGCTCAAGTTTCGACACAAAATCAAAAGTTATAGTTATTTTGATGAAATTTAGTTTATTCCCAAAACCCAATTAAATCAATTTAAATCAATATTTAAAGCAATTTGAAGCAATGAAATCAAAATATGTATCTGAAATAAACTATATAAATATTAAATTGTTTCTAACCCTAATTTTTTCAATGCTTTTTAGGTATGTAGTAACCCAATGTAGTAACTTCTACTCCTGCTTCAAGTTTAAATTTCAAAATTGGCGGTTTCATGCAAATTTAGCGTTTTTTTTATTCTTGATTGATTGAGTAATTATTAATAGTAGAATTTCTAAAATCCCGGAAAATTTCTCAAATTATTGAAATTGGTTTCGTTTTAAGATTTTCAAACAATTGAGCGAGTTCATATTCTCCAAAAATTCCACAAATTTAGGATTCAGAGAAACACAAATAGTGAATTGCCCTACCCTGCGATTGGATCTTAGATAGCGACCCGGCAGGGTATTAATTCTTTGTTTGCTTTGTTTTGAAAACTCAAAACTCGGCAATAAACCATTGTTTAATTATAATTCAAAAACCAATTTTATGTTCCAGTGCTTTTTTTAAATTAGGATTAACATTAATTCATGACTGACGGCCACTGATTTTGCGCCTTTCAAGAGTTGGTGTTTAATGGGAGCTTGAACCTGGTTTCCCGTTAAAAGTCGTATTCCTCTTGATGCAAAAGTGTTTGAGTATATATTATTACTGTTATGAGCCGTTTTTTCACATTTTCTAACCTGTCTTTCTAACCTTTTTTTAGGTCGACAAATTTTATCTTCCAAGCTCTAACAATTCACTAAAAAGATCCCGTTTTGGCAAAATTTGTTGAGCCACAGGCAAAATTTTGACAAAACCAAAAAAGGCGCTCTTAAGACAGCTTTGACCAAAACATCGTGATCTTTCGCCCGTCCCCCTCAGAAATTGTATATATTGGCGCCAAAAGTGCTTTAAATAAATTTTCGGTCAGAGCAATGTCTTCAGTTGTGCTCTAGTTTGTTTTCCATGCAAATTCTGGTACCACAAAAAAATATCACATGAGTTTGAGTGATATGTCGTTTTGATGCCTGCCTTTTTGATCAGGATTCGAAATAAACAGAGAAAACTTCAAAAACTTTTCTCAGTAACGCGAAAAAGTTTGATAGTTATTCCAATCAACAAATAAAAAAGCTAGCGCTTTGAGCAAAAAATAGACAGTTAAACAAACAAATAGTAAAGCTAGCGCTTTGAGCAAAAAATAGAGAGTTTTACAGATTCCGTTAGCGCTTTCTCGGCGCTAAATTGAAAAAAAAATTCTCTTGAAATTTTGGCTCTTTTCCAATTTCCCCTTTGATTTTTTCTGGAATTCAATATGCGAAAGTCTATTTAAATAATTTTCCATGTTGTAAATCGCATCAAAACCTGTCGGCGTGAACAGGTGAATAATTTATGACAACTTTTTTTACATGCAAAATGCCGTGTGAACAATTTTTGAGCCCCTTAATTTTGTAATTGTACCAGGGGTTGGGAAACTGGAAAAGAGCCGAGTTTTTATCTTTTTTTTCTTCTTCCCGCACCATGGATGAAAATCGATTTGAGTTGTGTTTTGCTGCCAATGTTTATAAAGTTGAAAATTAATCTATTATAGTCAATTAAGAAAGGAATCTTTTGCCATTTAAATGGATTAGATTGCCCTTATATTGCCAAAAATTGATTATATTGCCACTGATTATTTTGCCAATGGGGGAGGTTGTGGGTTTCTAAGGGACAACCCCGAGAACCAACCACCTCACCAAATTTAGCTCTTTGACACCTCACCCCTTTGTCCCTTACAATTATTCATGATGGGAAAATCAGTGGTGGGAAAATCTGTTGCAAACCTAAAACGCAATTTATGCTACAGAATTTTGAAAGCAAAAAAATCAGTTATGAAACTATTATTTTACTTCTTCTATGGAATTTCGAAACCAAACAACTTCTTCATGTTACGAGATAATGTTTAATCTTAAACTGCCTGACCCGCACTTTAGAGGATTCATATTTCAGAGATCTTTTGGTTCTCACTATTGTAAGTGGAGCAGAACAGTGTCTTCTTGTGTGGTTTAATTTGTTTTCCACAAGGGAAACCGGGTACCACTAATAAAAATCAAAAACGATTGAATTTTTAATCACTTAGAATTAGAAATTACCGGGTACCACTAATAAAAATCAGATAAGATCGAATTTTTAATGAATTAGAATCCAAAATTAACAGAGAAAACTCGAAAAACTTTTCTCAGTGTCGCGCAAAGTTTTCAAAATATTTTGAAAAAGTTAAGCAATAAACAGTTTTGCAGCTTTCTTTAGCGCTTTCCCGGCGCTAAATTGGGGACAAAATCTCTCTCATTTATATCAATTTTGTATAATTGTAAAAAAACGTTGATTTCGTTTCCGTTATATTTTTTGCAAAATACCTGTTTTAACTAAAAAATCAGACTAATCGGATCTACTTAACAATCTCCAACCCCCCTCCCCTCCCCCTTTCAAGAAAGGGGGGAGATTGTTGAGTAGATTACTGGCAGCAAATTTTTGACCAATCAGAATGCAACAAAGTTCGAATTGACATACAACGCTCTGGTGCGAATTTACAGGGGTGGCGATTCTTTATTAGAGACAATATTAGATTGTTAAGTAGACCCGACTAATCTTTTAAAATCGAGTTTTTTCCTCCTTCCCGAAATGAACTTCCATGGAAAAAATTAGTTATGATTGAGTTTTATTGTCAGTCTCTGTAAAACTGAAAAGTGATCGCTTAATTAAAAATTTGAATACATTTGTATGTATGTATGTATGTATGTATGTATGTATGTTCGTATGTTCGTATGTTCGTATTTATGTAAGTGTGGGTGAAAATAGTAATTCTGACAGGGATCGCGCGTCATAATACAAATTATGGCCAAAACTCTATCAAAACGCTTTTTGGGGGTCAAGAATTACAAAACGGTGGGGTGGTTCTGGTAGGGGGTCGGTCTGGTGGGGGTTAGTGATGGGTTTGTAAGGGACAAGGGGGAAAACGTTGGAGGAGGGAGGGTAAAGGGTCAAATAGCTAAGCGTTGTGGGAGGGGGTTGGGGTGATTGGAAATGGGCGGGAGTAAAAGACAAGAAGGCAATTGCTGACGGGTAAGATGGCAAAGGGGAAAACACTTAGGGGTTGGTTGTGGGAATGAAATTGCTTCTAGAAATCGAGTAGTCCGTAAGTTTTCTGCACTACTCATTTGAGTAACACAGAAATTATTGCTAAATTTTGCGCGAAGCGAAACAAAAATGAAGTGGAAAAAATTGATTCTAATTAACGGATGTTAAATGGAATATAATTAACTTTAAATTTGATAAGACAATGGATTAAAATTGATTTTTTGATCCATTTTGATTTCAGAGGGCAACATGGGAGTCGATTTTAGGGTTGCTTTTTCGCACGCTCACCAAAAAAGGACAAAACTCTCTGGAATAAAGACTCTCCTTATGACCGAAACAAAAGCGGTTTCCGTTTTAACCGAGTGCGTCTAAAAAGGAGCTGAAGATTTAGATTTTTTTTGTGGAATTGAGACATAAAATATTACCATTTTTAACACTAAATATAAGATCATGAAATGCTTTTGTGCCGGTTTTGTGCAACATGTTACCAAATATCGGATTTGTATCAAGTGAGTTTATTGAAAAGCGCAAATGTCCTCACTTCTACTTTAAAACATAACTGAAAATCGTATTTGCTGGAGAGTTGGATTGAAAACATGTTACATTATTATAACTTAAGTGTTTCATAAAAACTTAAATTCCATAAAACCTAAATTAATTTGTAAAACTTTCACAAAAATCCAAGTTCCTTGAAGGAACTTTCTTCACTTTGTTAAGCAGACTTTTCCACTCATCTTCCTAAGTTATGAACAACTATGGATCGATTGGTGAGAAGTCAGACATGGAGAAGGATGACATTAGCTTGTCGGATCCAGGGGCCAAACCGGGCAATGGTTCCAAAAAAGACCAAAACTTAGACGATAAAAGTGCCTCGACGTCCATGGATCCCATTGAGACTCCTATTGAGGAGGCCCTGGAGAATGCAGGGCTCACCTGGGTTCATTTTAAGCTCCTGGTGATCATGGGAGTGATAGTTATGAGTGATTACATCGAGTTGGAGGTCAACTCACTACTAGGTAAGGATGAACTTATATATCAGATATTATTCACAATTTTTTTTATTTTTCAACTTTTATCAAAAACATGCAGTCACAATACCTAGGAAATAACTATTAAATGTAACCACATCTCATGTTTGTTATTCCAGAATGACTTCGGTATTTTGACGTAATGTCCTGAAGCCTATATAATTTTCTTGTGTGCTTGTGTGAGTGCGAGTACGTGTGTGCGTGTGTGTATGATTGTCAGTGACATCTACGGTTCCTACGCAGTTAATAAGTTTGTTCGTAAATTAAATAATTAGGTCCTAAAATAGTGCTTAATCATTTCTGTAGACACAAATGCAAAACCAAAAATGCAAAAACTCCCCACGGACATTGAGCCCAACTACCATCTGTACTATCCTAGTTACATGTATTTTTTTCTAGTTTAAGGGCGAGAAAAAAAAACTAATATAAAAATGAGTTTTTGTATTCCGACTTTCTAAAAAACTTAGGATTGGTGTGGTCTTCTGTATTCAGTCAATTTTCGGCGATCGAGAAAAAAGTTTGTAACAAAAACATTTTTACACCCATCGGAGATATCGACCCTGAAAAATTAAAATTAAGAAAAATATATTTCAACTACGATCATTTTTTGCAAAGTTCAGGGAGTTTGAAAGTTGCCAACTTGGCCATGCTCTGGACTATTTTACGGGCCTTTTTATTGCTGAACGCGTAAACGCGTAACTCGAATTGTTTATGCGTGGAAAATTATATCGCGCAGCAGTATCGTTTCAAATCGACTTGAAGCTAGCTAATCGGTTGTTTCAAATTCGTGCGACTCAAATCTTGCACAGTTAATCTTTGATATTGTCGAAATTATATCGTTTGTCAAAATTTTCTTTTCTCAAATTTTACTCGCTGTGGAATAAGAGGCTGTCTGAACATTTAGGGCTTCGCCCCGATATATGGGCTGTCTTTTTTTCCGACCTTCGTAAGGAGAGGAACGGATTATTTGTGCTCGGGTTAGTTTTTTTTTCTTCAGACAAACTTCGATTTTTAACTAGCCATTTTCGACAACTATTTTTTATATCATTCACAAAATTTTTGTTCTACTGAGCTGATATTTGAAAAAAAAATATTTCACCTGTGATCATTTTTCGTAAAGTTATGAGGGTTTAGAGATTGCCATTTTGGCCAAGTTGGGACACTAAACGCTCGATATATTTCAATTCAATCCGTCTGAGAAATCGTTTCAATTTGGTTGAGGGAAGTTTATTTACCATATTTGATTTGTTACTAGGAGCAAAATTTATCACTTTGTACTTTATACGGCGTGTGGGAGATGATTTTCACAAGAAAACTCAAATTTAAAAAAACTCATTTCAGTCTTTTTTTTACATTTAGCTTTTTCATGCTCTTACTGCTCCAAAGACCTTGAAAGGCAATCGGAAAACTCAGGGCTTCACCCTGATACGAGCAATCTTGTTTTTTCTTTCGAATTGGAGCTTCAAAAATGGTAGCTTTTTGCATTTTACATTTTGGAACGAGTTTGCAGCTTTAGCAATCCCGTATATAGATTTTTGAACTGAAAATGATCACTTTGGTTTAAAATACTTTTTGCAAAGTCGAGATTGAACAGCCAAAATTTTAACAAAATACTGCTTATAAACAGACCTGAGTAGAAATCGAAACTTTACTTGAAAAAACTCAATTTTTAAATCCAAAAACTCATCTATTTTTTAATTTTAGGACAAATTTTGGTAGAAACTAACCTTAAAGGAACTTTATATCAGATGGCTACATACTAAAAGATAGCACGCGCTAAAACATAAGTTTTTTTACCACATCGTTTTCTAGACTCTATAAAATTGATAAACAAACTTCAAGCCAAATATAGCAAAGATTCATGTTTATAAGATAAATTGAGACTCAGAAAAATAGTTGCGCCCAAAATTTCTTCTTGCAATTTTTATGCTGATAAATTTAATTCTTTCTTGGGTAGCAAAAATTCAGAGCTGTAATTTTCTATAAATTATTTATGGTTGAGCGCAACAATTCTTACAATCCTGTGAAAATCACTGCAAAGTCAACTCGGATCAAGTGGGGTCAAACTTTTTTTTCAAGTTTTCGATTTAATAATATTTTTGTTACCACGCAATTTTTGTCAATGTGAATAAATAACCTAGTTTAACCTATTTTTGTGAGTTTTCCCCTAGGTAGTTTTTTGAATATTGATCATGCCTTTTGAGTTTTTTCTGTTACCTTTGAATCTTTCGATAATAACCATAAGTTCATTTATGGTCTAATGTTTTTTTTTTGCAGTTTGTCTGCTGTTTTTTAACGGTTCATCTTTTTTCAATTATTTTTCAAACTTCTTGGGTTTTTTGGTTTCGAAAAATTTTTTTGTACTAATGAATTTTGAACCAAATCATTTTTTGCTGCGTCCTTGAGGGAGTACCAAAACACAGAATAAACCACACGTGTTAGAATGTGTTCCAATTTAACTCATTTTATTCTTTTGACCTGTTAAATTTAGTTTTATTTTGAATACAGAACCCCTAAAATCGATGTTAGTTAATTTTCTGAAAATTCTGACGATACCGAAACTTTTTGAGAATTGATATTGAGACCATTTCTTAACTCATCTTTAGTTGGCAACTATTTCTTTGTAAAGGGAATATATCTGACAGTGTGCGAAACCCTCGTGCCAGAAATACCGGTTGCCTTAAATTTATAGTATCCGAACTGATAATGACACTCGAAATTTCTAAGGTTTTTAGGATATAACTCAGCATTTTTGGGACAGTTTAAAGGACTTTGCTTGATAGAAGATTTTGGTGCACTCCGTGTTTCTTCCATGAGAATAGCCCCAGTTTTATGATATTTTTTATCTGTAGGTCCTGTGCTGCTCTGTGAGTGGGAAATTTCTGCCTTCCAGGAGGCTCTTCTCACCTCTTCTACTTACATCGGAATGTGTGTCGGGGCCGCTTTGTGGGGAAAATTCTCCGACAAATACGGTTAGAGAAAAGTTGAAAGCTGCTTTTTTGGTTTGAAGCGTCAAGACGTTGGCAAGAAAAATTATTTATAAAATCATATTTCGCAAAATCCCAAGATTCTAGCCCCAGTACTTAGTACCAAAAAATAGTCAAAGGTTATTTTTTTTTTCAAATTCAATTGCAGGGCATTGATTTTTTTTCGCACTCTATATTAAAAAAATGTCAGAAATGCTTAAAAAAATTAAAATTGGTTCAAGTAAAAAAAGCTACCCCCAAGAATAAATATTTCTTCACATTTTTCAAAAAAAAACAACGGAGATCACAGCAATTTTATTAGTACAACAATGAAAAAAAAAACAATTCATTGTATAAAAAGCCAATTCACTATCAATTGGCGCGTAAAATGTGGCAGGCAGACACAGGCCAGAGTCCCCTAACCAATAAATTGTGAATTGATAGGAATAACAACCTAGATTGTTTTCAAGTTTTTCTTAAAGCTCAAGGCGTCAAATATCTAAAAATAAAGTATGTCAAACTATCAGTAATTTGAGTGCATCACCGTTTTGTGTTTATATTTCAGGTCGGAGGGTGGTGCTCCAAATTTGCAGTCTAATCGGAACATTCAGTGTCATCGTGAGTGCCACCAGTCAGGGTCCCAATCTCTTCGCAACCTCTCGATTCGTCGGCGGATTTGCAGTCGGCGGAATGCACATCGCTTACACATTCGTATCCGAATGCTTCGGTGCTCGGCTGCGCGCCAAAGCCGTCTTTATTTTATTCATCGCCCATTATAGTGGTTCAATTATAGGAGCAGTGCTGGCATTTTTCATGCTTCCCGAAGGGGGTTTCGGGGGCTGGCGACTATTCATTATTTTCACGACTACGCCGATGTTTATGATATTCATATTAGTGACTCATTTTTGCCCCGAGAGCCCCAGATTTCTTCTCATTTCAGGCGAATCAAAAAAAGCTCTCGAAGTCATACAGAGCTTCAATAGAAAACAAAATGAAAATATCATATTGGCGCCTATTGTAGTTAAGAACCGAGGCTCAGTTGGCGATTTATTCAGGAATTTGGAACAGTCCATACTTTTGGTGTCAATTTGCTCAGCTTTTTTCTTTCTTCGTTTTCAAAGTCTGGGACTCACTTTGCTGTATTACGAAAATTTACAAAATCCGAATGCTGACCAAAACTGTGACATTTTTGTCGAGACTTATGAAAAAGAAAACGAATGCGAACTTCTGAAATCTTCTGACTACTTGCAAAACATTTTGTTCACAAATGCTCAGCTCGTTTCCGCAATTGTAAGCACGACTTTAGCTGACGCTTTCGGCCGAAGGTTCGCAATGTATTCCACATCATCACTTGGTACAATCTCTTTGGGCTTGCTTCTCTTTTGCATGCCGAGTATTCTGCTCACGTTTTCAGCAATGGTTGCCAAATTCCTTATCTTAGCTTCAATAATGGTGATATTTTTGTATGTAAACGAGCTCTATCCTACTTACATCCGATCTCTAGCGCTTGGCTGTGTCGAGTCGGCTTCTCGGTTCGGCTTGATTCTCTCCCCGTTCGTCGCCCAATTTCTCTCCAAAACGAGTTATCCGATTGCACTTTCTATCTATATTTTGTCGGGTGTTGTTGCGGTTATTTTGTTGCAAGCTGCAAAAGAAGAGACCAAAAATCGAGTTTCAGAGGATTCTGACCTGATAGATGAAAACTTGAAAAAATGAGCCTTAGTCTTCGAATAAAAATATTGATTTTAAAATATGTATTTTCCAAATAAACTATTTTATGTCTCAACAAAATTTTCACTAATCTTTTTAATACTGGTTCGGAAAAAAGTTTAATACTGGTTCGGAAAATTTTAATACTGGTTCGGAAAATACTGGTTAATAATCTTTTTAATACTGGTTCGGAAAATTTTTGCCGAAACCATTGCGATTCAACACAGTTATGTTGCAACCCAGGGTAAAGGTAGAATTATAGTGGATTTTGGTAAAGTTGGTTGGAAGCGAAAATTAGTACATGCAAAAAAGTAATTCCAAATCAATTCAGCAGCATATTTAATTCCTGCTAAAAATTTTATCGAAAAAATGTGTAACACAAATGGAGACATGCAGTGTCGAGTGTCGAGATGTGAGCAGATTTCGGGATGCAATTAAAGCTGTTGCCTATCTGGTATAAGACCCATGTTGAAAACACAAACAAAACACACAAATTTGAAAAGAATTTTTGTCCAAAGCATAGTTTTTGGTGTCCAGTCAATAAGACTAGAACTGTTAAGGTGCCAACCGCTTTTGGTGGGATTTCAAGGCGACGCTAAACGCAGTTCTCCACAGTGTGTCGTCTTTGAGAAGTTTAAACCGCTTAAATTCGAACTAATCAGTTTACCAGTAATAACGCTTATTTATCGCCTTAATGTCCTGCCCTCTTAATAGCATGTCGTCTCATTTACCTAGCACCATAGTTCGACTTTCTACTTTGTGTGTTTTATTGATCAAAAAAAATCACAGAAAATTTTTGCATGGAGTGTTTTATTTTTCAAATAAAGCACAAAAATATATCGAAGGTTGAAGATGAAATGGGGTACATTTCAAGATTTTACGCATTTCATGAATTAAGTTTTTCATTGAACGCTTTTCATCAATTCTGTGAATTCTCTTTTCGTACTTTTGCAGGGCTATGGAAACTGAATTTAAAAAATCAGTTTTTTTGTCATTTTTAAGAAAACTCTTCATAAAGAGGGCTGAAAATTCAAAATGTGGTTGATGAAATCTATTCGACATCATTTAGGCTGAATGAAACTTTTAAAAACGAGTTTTTTTCTAGTTTTTTTCTAGTCAAAACTCGTTATAGACATTTTCTGGGTGCTGAAACATATTCATAAAATGTTTGATTTGAATTTTCGTTGAAAAGTTATAAAATTTGACTGTGTTTGCTTTTTTTTGTCAAACGACTAAAAAAAATTTATCATGCCAGGAAGGGGCGGATCTAAGATTTTTTACAAGGGAGGGGGTGATTTGCAAAAAAAAATGAAATGATTTTTTTTATGGATCGACCAAACTGATTTTCCTAGCTCTCACATATCACTCTAAAGACACCAATATGACAAAATTTTCTACGCTGCGGTCAAATTTCTCAAAAAAAACATGCCAAAAAAGATGTTTTTAGGCCGTTTTTGAGTATTTTGAAATTAGTATATATTGGAGTCTAAAAATTTTAGGGTCCGTCAGCCAACATTGGAGATCCAAGAATAGTCAAAGATGGAACTTTTTGGGTCGCCATATGATCGAAATCTTGAGGGAGGGGGGGGGGGGCGGCCGCTCTCCCGCCACCTCTAAATCCGCTGGCGAGGCCAGGAAATGATAATAATTATTCAAGATTTGCAAAAAAAATTGTATGAAGCTTGCCTGATATGTTTTTAACTTTCAAAGCTTTTCATTTGAATTTGAAATTGTATAAATAGATAGATAGTTTTACAAGATTTTAAGCACCCAGAAGAACTTTTAAAGAAACTGATACTGACAGAACAAACAACGGTTTAAAAGAAACTTTTGTAGGATTGTGTGGTTTTATTTCAGTCAAATTTTACTAAATGAATTCGATAACCATACTTGGAGTTTTGCAGAATAAACACCAAAATATTGGAGAAAAAGTTTAAAATCGCAAGAAAAGAACTAATTTGTCCCGTGGTCCTAATAGTGTAAGCTAAATTCCTTTTTTGACCAAATTTTTATTGCTTAATTTTTTGAGACTAGTTGGAGGGCAGTTCGAATCCTAGAGTTTATTCATGATACGAGCAGTTTTTTTAAGCAAGTTTTTCACTGCAAGTTTTTAATCAGTTTTCAGTGCAAGTTTTTTTGTATCTGGCTTAATCAATATCATTGTATACTATTGTGAAACCTCATCATTAGATAATAATTTTCTTTGGCATAATTTCACAAAATTAAAGCGTAGCAAAGGCGTCGAATTAATAAGACTCTAAAGCCATTGAAAACTTATTTAAAATGCTAGAATGTCCAGAATAAAAACAAGACAGCTCGTATCAAAGCGATACCCCACAAATTCCGACTGCTTTTTAAGGTCTATGTATTAGTGTTTGCCATATTAGGTAAAAAGTGATAGATTTTGTGCCTAGTAACGTAACAGTTATGACAAATAGCCCATAAAAATTTATGAGAAGTGTATAAACTTCGCTTACGCGATAATATCTCAAAAAATATCGCGCGTTAGCTACAAAATTGGCCAAATGGGCAACCTTATTCCCTCATATTTTCACGAAAAATGATCGCAGGTAGAATATCTTTTACCTTTTGGACAAAAAAAACATTGTCAAAAATTCTTACATATAAAGTCCAAATTTCATATTTCACCCCGATCACAAGTATTTTGCCACTTTCTCCGAAAGTCGGAACAAATACTGGACATTTTTTTTGTTTTTACTGAATCAATTATGTTCGGAAAAAAGCATTGAAAAAACTCGTTTTTATTTTCATCAAAACTCTTACCAAAATTATTGTGGAAGGCAATCGAGACGAGCAATTTGATTTTTTCCACGATTGAAAGGGCTTGAAAAGTAAACCACGATTGAAAGGGCTTGAAAAGGGCTCGACCCCTTGCGCGTTTCCGTTAGGGTTCATCAATTTGCGTTGAAAAAAAGTAAACTGACTTAAATTTCCTCTGCAAACTTTTACAAAAAGCCTAATTTTTGCCGCCCAATTTATATCTAAAAAGCCCAAAAGTTTCCAGTGATATAAAAGTAATTACCTAAGTTGGCGGTTTTTCATATGCTTTCTATAACAAAGTTAATGTGGTTTCTAGAGCTCAAAAATAATATCGCACGATTGAAACCACAAACCGGCCTGCTACCTGCTAAA